TTTTTTTTTTTTTTTCAAACCAGACGTTAATGTGCGTTAATGTGCGTTAATGTGCATTGATGCAAACGTAAATGTAATGAAATTAAAATAAAATTGAAATCAATTTGGCAAGGTCTCTTGGTTTTTAAACTCGATCCTCTCGATTCTCCGCGTTTTTATACTCCACCGGGATGGATATCTCGATGGATATCTCGCTATTTGTTAGGGCGTAAGTTGGTATATAGGTACGTTAGTAAATCGAAAGGATACGTCTAAGATCGTCACAGCGGTGGTAAAAATGAGGTAAAAATTCATAATTTTTCATTTATGGAGTTCCTTGCAAAACTGCGTTGTTACAAAATGTTTAGAATCTTTCAAGATTGAAGATTTTTCGTAAAATACGTGAAATAAAATACGTGATTTTTAATTTCTGCGATACGGTAGTAGCAGTAACGATAAGTTTCGTGCTCTGTTCAACCGTATGTTGACGAACGACGTGTTTGTTTGACAAATCGGAAGCTACGATACTGCTGTGAAATTGAAAATTAAGAAAATTGGAAGAATCGAACGATCGAGAGAAAAGAAGAAAACGGTAGAAACGGCGAAGAAAGGGGGAGGGCGGGGGGCGTGGAATAAAGTAAAGAGAAATGGGAAGAAAAGCGAGGAGATTATTTTGATTCTTTCCCGTTTCGCGAGAGACGTACGGGTGTGAAAAAACGTTCGACTCGAAGATGCAGCTTGAAGCAGAGAAAAAGCAAAGGGAACGAGTGGCGAGAAAGCAGTCGCGAAACCTGGAAATACGCGTACGAGTAAGCAAGAAAAACTGACGAAACTTTTTCGTAGTGCGAGGAATCGCGATGCGACTGTATGCCATGACCACGCGCCATTGCCAAGCCGTTACCACGCCGTTGTCCCGTCGTTATTCGCCACTTCGAGCCACGTACGACGCTCTGCATCGTACGTGGCGTAGGTATACTTTGCCGATGTTGCCACTGATGCTTTACGTCGAGGATTCTCCTTTCCTTTTGCTGTCTGTTAAATCGCTTGCTTTCGTTTCAGTTTCGGCGAAACGCGACTACGTAGGTGAGAGACGAGGTGAAACTTGGAAGGACGCGTTTTGTACGCGCATCGACGCGTGCCTGTCGTCGGACGTGCGTCGTCTTTACCTCGTCTTTATCTTTCTATTCTACTAGGAAGAACGTCGAGGAACGTAAAGGAACGTAAAGGATAGAGAGAAAACGGATAACGAGAAGAAGGGAGCGTTAGCGCGACGAATAATCGCGAAACGATAATGATCGTAATAAAGCGTTGCCGATTAAGCGATAACGTACCTATCGCTTCTCTCGTTGTTGGAAGTATCGTCGTGGAAAGTATTGTACGATCGTTTCTCGTACTTTGAAACTGTACTTGTACTGTGAAGCGGCAGAACGTGCGTGCGTGCGTGCATGTAGCTCCCATATTTTTGCTTCCATATTTTTGGGAAATAAAATTTCGTTCTCTAACCGAGTTCTCTTCTTCTATCTTCGACGTGTGATATCGACAAACGACACTTTTCATATTATTTATCCCTACCTGTTTATCTTTATCTCTGTTACTTATCCCCGTATATATAAATTTCTACGTATAAATTGTACGTATAAATAATACGCGTGCTGATACG